GAATGAATGCCACGCCAGGACCTTCAGGTCCTCAGCAGCAGCCCCAGGAAGTGCTCTCAGAATTGCCTGCCCCACCTTTTTACCGAAAGGGCAGGGGGACTGTTACAATAGGCCAGGATGACCCTAGTGGCTACATTTAAAAGTCCTACCTTGTCCTCTTTGACCCGACCTGTGCCCTTCACCACGCCATTCGTCCTTTGTCAAGGGACAAAGTGCAGCAGAAAATGAGAAGACAAGAGACCCGGTTACTCTGTGTGCCTCCAAGCAAATCTTGTATTCTTCCTGGACCTCGATCTCTAATCTCATGCTCTTAATGCAAACCAGTAATTACTGACAAGTCTGAATTTGAAGTTTAACAGAATGATAAAATTTTACAAGTATTTATTGGTACTTTCATTTGCAAATGGAAAAAAGATAAAAGACTTTGTCCGTGGAGAAATCTTGCTACTGCAGGTTCCTTGTTTGCTTGTAGAGAAGGCTGCAAATTCCTCTTAAAAATGTTGAAACACTCTTAGACTATGCGGACACACACGAAATACATCTTGAGAAGACTTGGAAGACAAGTTCAGCCGGCATCCACTGTCCCGATTCAGAACAGAGATGAGTAAAGGCACAGCCTGAATGAGATCATCATGGGCTGAGGGAGACACACCTAAAATGGACCAACAGACAGGACAGAGTTGTACACAGAATTTGGTTTATAAAAATGGGGAGATTTTTGAGGGAGGACAATGTTTTCGTCTACAAATCCTTTCTTTATAAAACAAAACCAGATCTCTCTCTCTCTCTCTCTCTCTCACACACACACACACAGACACACACACACACACGCATACACACACACATTCAGAGGGGTCCAACCCATGACTGGCCTGGGAGATCAAAAACCCCTAGATGCTTTTCCCAGATGGTGAGTTAAAGATCTTCTGGGTCCAGCTTCAAGGACCACGGTTTCTCCTAGGAACTCTACTGGGTCCCTCCCTGCCTCCCTCCAAAGTGTACATTTTTGCTGATTAAATGCTTTTAAAATTCCTGACTCTTCATTTAGAATAAAGTAAAGCTAGCTGCCTGACTTACCCAATTACTAATGAATTAATTAAGCAACTAAATAATTAATTAATTAATTTAAAAAACCTAAATTGAAGTTTTAAATTGCAAAAAGTAAGGTTATACAAGCAAAGAAATTAGAGAGTAGAATTCTTTCTAAGACATGTTTCTATAGCCCAGAAATATGAAAGAAAAATTTTAACATATTTGACGATAATAAAAATTTTTAATTACACTTAAAACATATCCTAAACAAAGTCAAAAGACAACAGTGTGATAGAAAAATACTTTCCTCATCCATAAGAGACAAAGAGTAAATCCCATGTACACAAAGAGCTCCTACACATTGAATAGAAAAACAACCCGATAGAAATATGGGTCCAGGATAAGACTAGGTAATTTACTGAATAGGAAATGCAAATTGGCCATAAACATATGAAAAGATGCTCAGCTTCACTAGTAGTCAGGGAAATGCAAATTAAATCTCAAGGAGATTAGCATTTTTTGGTCTAGCAGATTGGCCCAAGTGTTGGCAAGGCCCAGGGGTGGGGGGGGGGAGGGGGAGGGGGCAGGGAGACACGACCCTCTCCTACACCACTGGCGTTCCAGCCCCAAGAGTAAAGGCAATCCCAGTCTTCAAATTCCATCCTACAAGAAATAATAAAATAAATACGTCAAAATACATAAACAAGAACCTGTATTGCAGCATTGTACTCAATAACAAAAATATTATAAATAATCTAAATGCCCATCCATAGGAAAATGGTTGCATCTATTATAATGTATTCATGCAGTGGAATAACATGCAGCCTCTAAAAATAGTATGTTATATTTATATGTACTGACTTGGAAATATCCATGAGTATGAAGGGAAATAAGCCAGGTCCAGGGCAGTGGTCTGCCATTTTGGATATATGTGCACTTAGATATGTCTGCATAAACCCAACAACGAATTGGGTGTAATATGCAACAATTTTTCATTAGTGGTTTACTGGGTTTTTTTGGGTTTTTTTGTGGTATGCATGCCTCTCACTGTTGTCGCCTCTCCCGTTGCGGAGCACAGGTTCCAGACATGCAGGCTCAGCGGCCATGGCTCACAGGCCTAGCCGCTCCGCGGCATGTGGGATCCTCCTGGACTAGGGCACGAACCCGTGTCCCCTGCATCGGCAGGCAAACTCTCAACCACTGCGCCACCAGGGAAGCCCTAGTGGTTTACTTTGAAGAAAGGAATCAGGTGAAGGGAGAAAGTTTCCTCTTTATGAAATATTTTGGAACCAGTGGAATTATGAGCAAATTTAATTTTTTGTTTTGGTTATTTTTCAAAACAATATTTTTGTTACTCCCCAGGAAAGCTCGTCACTAAGCTGATCATTTGGGGGAAGTAAAGGATCCTTTTGCGAAGCCTAAAATCATCCCCCCAAGTTCTCTTTTGTCTCCCAGGCTGGTTGGCATTCTTTCAAACCAAACTAGTGCTGAACTGAGTCATCTGAGTGGGTTATTAGAGACAAAATGGCACTGGTTTAATTAGGATTAGAATCAAGCCAACCAAAGCCATTTGAGTATATGATGTTGGATGTGCCCAAAGCAAGACATATATTTTTTTGACTTCTGAGGCTGGAGGAAAATTTGAGATCCAGCATTGAGAGTTTTGGGGGTGGGGAGTTTTATTGGTACTGGCACAATTATGTTTTATTTATTTATTTATTTATTTATTTATTTATTTATTTTTGGCTGCATTGGGTCTTTGTTGCTGCCCGTGGACTTTCTCCAGTTGCGGCGAGCGGGGGCTACCCTTCATTTCGGTGCGTGGGCTTCTCCCTGAGGTGGTATCTCTTGTGGAGCACGGGATCTAGGTACATGGGCTCCGCAGTTGTGGCTCGCGGGCTCTAGAGCACAGGCTCAGTAGTTGTGGCGCATAGACTTAGTTGCTCCGCGGCATGTGGGATCTTCCTGGACCAGGGATCAAACCCGTGTCTCCTGCGTTGGCAGGCTGATTCTTAACCACTGCGCCACCAGAGAAGTCCACAATTATGTTTAAAACAAAAATTATCCTCATTGAGTGCCAGTAATTTAATTACAGATCTAGAAAATGAGAAGTGTCCAACAGGCTCTGTACTCCTCTCGAAGACTGATTTCACATCCTTTGAGGCAGCTCAGATACCCACCTCCATGGGAAACCTTCTTTCAGGCTTAGTATGTTACAGAGACTTGGGGAAAGCACAAAGATGGGGGTGAGTAAAAATGGCTTGCCAACTGCAAAGAGCTCCGTGGGTGGTTGTTGCCTTAGAGTTAGAATTTCCATTTACCTGCTTTTCTTGATGCTAAAAGGCAAGATGGGAAAACTGTCCTGGGAGACAGGCAAGTTGCTCAGGGCCAGGCTCTGAGGTGTGGGGGAGGCAAAGAAGCCTCCAATTTGTAGACCTTAAACTTGAATCATCTACATCAGAG